AAAACCTTCCCCGATTCAAGAAGAAAGCATCCCCGTCGCCCTCACTGGTAGAGATATCCTCGCACGCGCAAAAAACGGCACTGGCAAAACGGCAGCATTCGTCATTCCCGCACTCGAAAAGATCAACCCCAAAATACCAAAGATCCAATGTCTCATCCTCGTCCCCACCAGAGAGCTTGCCATGCAAACCTCTCAGGTCTGCAAAACCCTCGGCAAGCATCTCGGTGTCAACGTAATGGTCACCACTGGTGGAACAGGTCTCCGCGACGACATCGTTCGTCTCCAGGACCCGGTTCACATCGTTGTTGGAACGCCTGGCAGAATCCTAGACTTGGCTGGAAAGCAAGTTGCGGATCTGAGCGAATGTCCCATGTTTATCATGGATGAAGCTGACAAGCTTCTCTCGGTTGAGTTCACCCCCGTCATCGAACAGCTGCTCCAGTTTCACCCCAAAGACCGCCAGGTCATGTTGTTCTCAGCCACTTTCCCTCTCTCTGTCAAGGACTTTTCCGACAAGAACATGGTGAGCCCGTACGAGATCAACCTCATGGACGAGCTCACCTTGCGCGGTATCACCCAGTACTATGCCTTCGTGGAGGAGAAGCAAAAGGTCCACTGCCTGAACACCTTGTTCAGCAAGCTCCAGATCAATCAGTCCATCATCTTTTGCAACTCGACCAACCGTGTTGAGCTGCTCGCCAAGAAGATCACCGAGCTTGGATACTCGTGCTTCTACAGTCACGCCAAGATGGCCCAGCAGGCCCGCAACCGTGTCTTTCACGATTTCCGCAATGGTGTTTGCCGCAACCTGGTGTGTTCGGACCTCCTCACCCGCGGTATCGATATCCAAGCCGTCAATGTTGTCATCAACTTTGACTTCCCCAAGAACGCCGAGACGTACCTCCATCGTATCGGTCGATCTGGTCGTTATGGCCATCTTGGTCTGGCCATTAACCTGATCAACTGGGACGACCGGTTCAACCTGTACAACATCGAGCGCGATCTCGGCACAGAAATCCAGGCCATTCCGCAGACGATTGACAAGAGCCTCTACGTTTACGAGAACCCCGAGACGATCCCTCGGCCCATCTCAAACTTCAAGGTCGCGAACAACCAACAGCAAGCTCAGCAACAGAGCCAACAAAGCCAACAAAGCCAACAACAGGCTCCTGCTCAGCAGCAACAGCTACAACAGCAACAATCCCAGAACCCACCTGCTCAGCAATCTCAACCTCAAGGGTTCCCCCAACAGCATTCTCGGCAGGCCCTTCCCGGTCAAGGAGAATGGCAAACTCAGAACAGGCAGAACGGCCCAGGGCCCTCGATGAACCAGGGCCGTGGAGGCTACCAAGGTAATCGGGGGCAGTCGTCTGGCCACCGTGGCCGTGGGCGAGGCTATCAAGGCCAAGGCCAGGGCCAGGGCCAAGGTCAAGGTCAAGGTCCCCGTCAGAATTACGGGGGTCAGCGCGGCGGTCGTCCTCAAGGTCAACCACAGGGACCGATGCAGTAGCCATAACCTCCATTCAGCATCTTGAAGGTGCGGTGGGGATGATGGTGTGCATGGAACGACTTTTCTCTTCTCTTATATTTGCTTGTACATATTAATTTGCGGCCTCCACGATCTTCCCTGGCATCATCTACACCAGGCCATTTTCACCGTTTGTCGATGCCCTTCTCAACGACAAGCCCATACTCCTTTCGACAGCCCCGCCGGAAAGTAATGGGCGGCACCCCTTCCTCTCATATCTGATACTGGCCGCCGTGGAATCTTAGCGACGTTCTCGATTGTATCATATCCTTAATTTCGTTCGATACTGGTTTCCACCTTTCTTCAATCGGTCTACCTCTACTGGCATTTACACGGCATAGACATCAGACATGGAAGTAATTGTATCTTCTCTGGCAGCTCGGCGGGGACTTGATCCCGGGTACAGGAAAGTCAATGGTGGGAATCCTTTTTGTGATACCTCGCACCACCCCCAACCTCGCTCTTTGCACGGATAGATCTTCTCGCGGTGTACTGGCGTTGTTGCGTCACCTCACTGTGTTTTATCACGAATCACACAACCATTTCATGATTGGATGGCTGGAGGTCACTGGGATGGAAACAAATAGAATTGACGACGTCTAGTTTTGTTCGGCTAACTCTTTGGGCTAGCCTTTTTTCTTTTCTGTCTCTTTCTGCTCTTCCTTCGAGCCTGGGAGAATGGGAACCGCTCCCGTGGTTCCTTTCTTCTGTGCCCGGTTTTTATTTTGGCATCATATATCTGGCGTTTGCTGGCGTTTGGGTCAGGTGTGGTTCGGGACTGGTAACTACGGTTAATACCAGTAGAGGACGGATCTGGCGCAACGGTCCGGATATGCGAGATTTCTCAAGATCTTTTTAAGAGGCGCATTTCTTTTGATGGAGGCAATGTGTATCACCGCGTCCACATCTCAACCTCAGGAAGCAAATCAGATACCAGTCGACGAATGGTCTGGGACGTATGGTGGTTTGGTGGTATCACGGGGTTACGATATTGCCAGTCTCGGTGTGCTTGGCGGTTGACGTCTTGCATTGGGATTGTCATGCAGGGGAAAAGCCTTTCGGTGGTATGGATATTGGCTTTTGGCATGGGTGTGGTTGGGACGACGGACGACCTAATGATGATGGCCGGGGCCTGGGTGGGCCATGAATGCTCAGGACTTTTCCGACCTGGAGCTCTTTCTTTTATCACTGGTTATTTGAACCTTTGCTGGTCCACGAATGGCACCGACACAACTCTTCTCGTCGGCAGCGTGCCCTCTTTTTCTGGCCTGCACCTCCTACGCTGCCTTCCGATCCTTCACGATCTAACAAGTAGTTGCAGGCACGCATCGACAAACTGTCATCGCTCTCATTTCGTCTTTGCCGGTTATTGGTGGTAGAGTACATCGTCAGACAAGTTTGGTGGACTCGAGCCGGCGACGAACGTCTCTCTACCACCAAGAGAAGGCGAATCTGGGAGGCCTGAGAGACATGCCAAATCAACAACATTATATATAAAAAGATAAAAAAAAACTTTTTTTTTCTTTTGGGGAAGAAGGTCATCAAGTAAGGGAATGGGAATGCTCGCCTCGTCATTCTGGGTTTTGTTAAACTCATGGGCGTGTATCCTCTCCTCTTTGGTGAGCCAAGACCAACGGAACTCGGTAGTTAGTCTGATACTCTAGACTTACGAAGTTTTGTCCGTTCTCCCTCATCTTTGTTCCTTACTAATCATCGTCTCCGTGGTGACTCGATGTACTGTTCTTGTAGTGGCCAATGACAACAGCACAGGGTCAGCCGATTAAACGCAAGTCTGAGGTATGTTAACAGCTGCAACTAACTACTTAGGCTTCTCCGTCGACGACGAGAGGCTCTTTGGATTTGCTCATGTTCTTGTTCCTTGACGTGCCCTCCCTGCCCGGTCTGGGTGCTGACTCTTACCACCGGTATCATTATCTCGGCACTACTGACATCATATCTCCTAGTACCTCTCGGTCCTGATACCTGATCCATTTTATTCTTCGCCATGATCTCCTCGGCTGCTTGTGCGAACGCCATGGCCGCCATCTGGCCTGCTGTTAATTTCTTATCACTAGTTTCGCCATTTAAGCCACCTGCACACCATGATTATCCATCTCATCGTCGGGAATAGCGCCCGGTCCCCCGCTGGAAGAAGAGTCGTCGTCCCGGTTATCGGTGATGGTCAAGTCCGGACCTAGGACCTGGAAGGATGTAGGTCCCACTTTTACCGGATGGATGTACTCTGAGTTGGTGCTGTCGGCATTGTTGTTGTCGATTATTTGGCTTCCCGACTCGATTTCAACGTGGATGTGGTCCCCTTCTGGTGTAATTGGGACTGCGACCACGCCGTGGCCTGATATTGTGAGTTTGTTGCCTTTGGGGGGCTGTTTTTGGTTGAATTGGTCTGGTGAGGGGGGTGAGGATTGGTCTCGGGTGTTTAGGAGCTTGTGCTTGGTGGTATCGTTTAATGGTGGGGATACGGCTGTGAGTGTTCCCAAGGATGCTGGGAATTGGTTTGATGCTGGTTGGGGTTCGGGATGGCGGAGGTTGATCAGCTGTGATTATGAGTTCGTGTTTGAGCTGTGGAGATATGAACAGTGAGACAGGCCACGAGAAGAACATACTGTGGATGGATCTCTTCTCAGAACGCTTGCTGCTGCTGTAGTATTGGAGAAGATGAGAGTCGCTGCCAGGGGCAGCAGTGAGCCATATAAGTGCATTGCTATTTCCTGTATTGTAAGGACTAAGGAGGCTAGTGATGGGATGTCCAAGTTGTCGGCGAGAGAGTTCGCTCTTGATGGGATGGCAATGGTGTCCATGGCTGGAATTATATACCTGCAACATGACTCGTCATGAGAGGACTCGGGCCTTGAGGCGAGTCTGACTTATCTTGGCCCCGAGGAAGTCGAATGTGTCTCAGTCCTGGCCATAACTCCATATCAAGGTCTCTCTGGATCTTTGCTTCCCATCGGTTTCTGCATATCCTGAACTACAATAATTAGACTAAAAGCAACGATGACATGAGTGGTTGAGTTCAAGTCTCAAGGGATCCACCTCTAAATCGTGGAAAACACAAAACTCTATGCCCATGAATCATGCAGGCGAAAGTTTCCACAAAAGGCAGACAACGCAACTAGCTTTTCAACAACAAGAGAGAATCCGCCCGGCTAGCTCAATCGGTAGAGCGTGAGACTCTTATTCCAGATCATCTCAAGGTTGTGGGTTCGACCCCCACGTCGGGCTCAATTCCCGGCGGCAGACTTCTCTCTTCTCTTTTTTGCTTCATATTCTTTTTGTTTTTCGGTATTGCTGGAAGCGGGGTTTCTATCCCCGTTAACTCAAGCTACTTTTAACCAAGTAAGCAAAACATCACGAACGAGTCATATACTGCTTGCCATATTTTCCACTTCGTTCCACCACAACGAATCAAAGCTGAATTAATATACTATAATGCCAATAGCATTAAAACATCGGCCTAGTAGCGTAATGGTAGCGCGTTCGACTCCAGCTGTTCAAGGTTGTCATCGAAAGGTTATCTGTTCAAGTCAGGTCTGGGTCAAAGATTTCACTTTTTGCCTTTCGTGGGTTGGGCTCGTTTGGTTTTTATACCCACAGTCAGGCATACCTCCTCTCTTTCTTCATGTTGTTTCTTTAGATCCTGTTTATTCACGTGGGAAGAATCTCTGCAAGGATCAACTTGACCTCGTTGGCTGCCCAGCATTAGCCTCAGCAGGCATGTTGTCCAAAGCTGAGGGACATGGTTTCTTTGGTCAGGCTGGCAGCTGCATTGCTTGCGGCGTTTTCAAATGAGCGGGCCGGGGTTGTTGGGTGTGTTCGGGACCTTATTTTTCACATAGAAAGGATACTTTCCACGGGAGCTATCATATGTAGCATCCCAATGCTTGCAACTGCTGACTTCTTGATTTGGAGTCTGTTATCGAAAGTCAGGGTCTCTCGGTTGACAGGGTAGGTTTGAGTGGGATAGCAAGGATGGTATTCCCAAGAAGCAGTACCACAAGGCTTGGAAGAAGATGGACACGCACAGAGCGATGGCGCGGGTTTGCATGACCAACGCCTATGAGTGTGCACTGAAGGCGCTTGAGGCGCCTATGGCCTATGGATCAGAAGTTTTGGGGGGAATTCTTTGGGTTATTATTGATTGCCTACCTACCTACCTGGCTTCCACCCACCCTTGGCATTATTCAGTTTTGGTTTTGATTACTGCAATACCTGGTGAGGTAGTGCTGCAGCTCGAAAGGAACTAGCGACTTTGCGAGCAAGAATTCCAAATGTCACGGCATGTTTCTGACCTCGCTGTCCGCCGTTCTGAACAGATTAACGTGAAGCTCGCGTTTCCTCGGCCTGGGGACTTGTTCTTCTCTCCCGGGCAGCTTGCGGATCATGTGAACGAGAGAGTCGAGGACCAAAACTGACAAGGAGGAGCAAAGGAGCGGCATGGTTCTTTCATGGGATGGTTGTTCTTATCGATAGACCTAGTAGCTTGGTACTATTGCCTGTGGACTGTTGGTAGGCTTCCAGATACCTGAAGCTAGAATAATTACCTTAACTGGGTTAAATAACTGGCTTACCTAATTGGAATAGATGTATTAACTGATCTGAATACATTCCTCGATTGATATAAATAAATACCTTAACCAGCTGGACTAAACGGCTAAGTAGACTAGAATAAATCCCTTAACTAGGTTGAATAAGTGCCTTAACTGGATTAGAACAAAGGGCTTGACGGGCTCAAATAAATACCTTGACGGGCTCGAATAAATGCCTCTGGGCTGGAAAGTGAAATCGTACTGGTGTCTGTATATAAAAGTAGTAGTGCCTGTGTATTAAGCCCCAACCTCTGTAGCTTCAGCAGTATCCGAGTCAGGCCACAGCTCTGCTCCCACAACGACTTTCCCATCCAAATCCTGACGCATTCGCCTGACTCTGGCCAGCCAGTTAATGCTCGACTCCCACTCTTGCCTCCTCTCATCTAGTCGAAATCTCCTTCCAGCCGGTACCGGGCCGCTCCAATAACCCAGTCCCTGGGTAGTATGCTCAGATGGTGTCGATCCATCCGCTCGATCCAAGCCAACTGTGATCTTCATCTGCTCTGTGTGCCTCCGAACAAGTAACCATTGAAGAACTCCAGGGTGTTGTCTTGCAGGTTGAAAGGCAGATCGATACATCTTTGTACCATTTCCATCAACCTGACTGCGTGAGAAGTATGCCAACCGAGCTCCCCGACGAACCAGAAACTTGACTGCCGACAACCTCCCGTAGTCGCAAGCAGCCATCAGCGCAGTCCCGTGGCTGCAGCCCTCAAATTCAATATCTGCGCCAATAGATATGAGATTTTCCATCATAGCCACGGAGTCATGGTATGCTGCCAGACACAGCGGACCAAGTTCGCCTGCTGCGGGATAAAGATTCATGACTCGCGCCAGACATTCTTTCCCATACGCCCTGACGATGAGGTGGAACTGGGGATCGTCAAATATAATGACCTCTGCCGACATAAAGTATCCTTTCCAGTAGAACGGGCGCGCACTTTCCAACGACAGGGTTCTGCCGAGAAATAATCCTCTGCTGCGGTGTAGACGTAGTAATATCTGCGTCGGGGTGACTTTGTCAACATTTGGCCTATCGGGATTCGAACCTAGACGGAGCAAGGTTAAGAGAATTTCAGTCTTATCGACGCTCCACTCTTCGGTCAGCGAGCGACAACAATCTTCCAAAGCGCCATTGCCACAGATTCTTAAGCAATGAGGATCGGCCCCATGCTTAAGAAGTAGGCGGAAGGCTTCGGCTTCGCCAGCTCGTGCCGCAACCCGCAAAGGAGTGAATCCATGAACGTCTCTTGCGTTGATATGGGCGCCACTTGCAAGCAGATGTTCCACAGTCTTGAGACATAAAGGGTTGATGGATGAATGTAAGAAAAAGTCACGACGGTCTTTCGGATATGGGATGTTCACTTCAGCCCCGTTTTCGATCAGAAGCCGTGCAGTCGAGGGATCATCTATTGCTAGGTAAAGCAGAGACTTCTCTTTGTGATCTTTATGATTGACCAAGAACGCCACGGGATCTGGGTGCTTCGACAGCCGACTAAGTTTGATCAGACACTGTTAGAAGAAACCGGTGCGCTCTGAGACGGTTGACGGTCATATGAGATCATACCTGTATGCTTCTCGATGTACCCTGACGTGATGAATAACGATGCCGGCTGCCGGGTAATTCTTTGCCCAAAGAGCGATGTTCAAGGGCGAATCTGGGAACTCATCCAAGATTGTATGCTTCTCTTGCTGTGTGAGATAGCGTGAGAGCAGTTTGGGAAGGACCTTGTTGAACCTGGGATCTGCGGCACAAATCCAGGGTACTTTCATCGGGATTCCCCGAGCCCTGGAAAGGACATCAGACTCAAAGAGGTTGAGATCAAGGTTCTCGCAATCATGGAATGGACACTCGGTCAAGAGATCTGAGACGTCAGCTCCATTATCAGTAAGCCCGTCAAGAACATTGGCCCGCCCAAACCTGATCGCACAGCTTATGACGCTGCAATACGAGCAAGATACATTTCTTGCACCCATTATCCAAGCGTCCTTCAACATCGTTACGTCCCCAGTTACGATAGCCTTCTGCAACTCAGACCCCAAAGGTACGCGTCTGCGCTTTTGCGTTTCCGCATAACTTTTGTCGTCCCGGTGTATTGCTGGTAATTCCGCTCTTAGGCTCCAGTTGGAAGCAACCGAGCCTTCCGTGGCAGGGTCTGCCTCACTTTCATCCTCCTCCTCAGGAACGGAAGGCGAATCTGATTTCTCCTGCATTCTTCCTATGGGGTTCAGTGGGGTTTGTGCACTCAGCTCTGCCAACGTCTGAAGCACAGCGGCTTTTCTCTTCCCACTGGCACCAACTGTTCGAGAAGCCGATACCCCTTGGCCTTTGTTGGGATTCATGTCTGCTCCCCATCTGTGGAGGCATCTGATCATGGAGCTGGACCCTCGGTACATTGTAAAATGCAAAAGCGTCCAACCATTCCCAGATTTGGCGTCAATGTCATCAATGAGACCCTCTCGTAGATAGAATTCAAGCACACCTCTGTGACCTTGGAGTGCAGCAAGGTGTAAAGCGTTGCAGTCTTTGAAGACAGGGTTAGATCGTCGTCCCCAGGCCTGCACACTCTCTGGCTCTCCCAACGGTATTACCCTTCCACGCCGTCTCCATTTGTTATCCCAGACAATATCGACCCTTCTGTTCCACTGTACCGTATAGCCCAAGCGTCCCTGTCGTTCAAGATCGCGAAGATGAGAGATGAAGTGGAGATAGCCACGAAGGACGGCGTGCGTGATTGCATCGTAGCCGTCGTCATCGACTCGGCCCGGATCAGCTCCAAGCTCCAACGCATACGAAGACAAGTCAACATACCGGCGCTTCAGATAGAGGACGAGTGTAGGAACGTTGGAACCCGTGCATAGGTTGGGGTCGGCACCAGCGTTAATAAGACGAGCGAGCCTTTGACGATCTCCCTTTTGAGGCATTGTTCGCTCTCCAAGCAAATGAATTGGCCCAGGACGCCTCTTTGCTTCACTGATGGTGGCCAGACTATTGATTGTGCTTTGATCAAGACGTCCGAGGACCATGTCAAAAACTTCGAAGCTCGCAGAGCTCCAGTGAGCACAAGCTGTATCGAGAGCATTATAGCCATCGATTCGTATACGAGGATCGACACCTCGGTCCAAAAGTGATGCGACAATATCTGCGTGATTGCCTTTTATAGACCGGTGCAACCATCTTATAAAAGTATCTGAGCTTCTTGCCTCCTCTAGGTAGTTCGTCACACCAAACAGGGTCGTGACAGAGTTGGGCAGAGTGCCGTGGTCGCTCCATTTAAGGATACATTTAAGAGCTGATATGAATGGATAGAGTGCGGACGTCTTTCTTTCGTCTTCGTGTGCCGAGATGACACCAGCACGAACAAGTCGTGCCACGACCATATCGAGCGAGGTGGTATTTCTTAGCCACGTCCTGCCGGCCTCGGCAGTAAGCGCGGTTATCCCGAAACAGAACTTCTCCCAGAAGGTAGCTCCTGTGCCTGAGGAAGATGAAAAGACGGGAGGAATGATTTCGTCCAAGATTTGGTTGATTTTGGCGGTTTGCTCCACAACAGGAGGCTCCAAGATTGTGTTCATTACGAACGCCTCGAGTGGTCGTGCCCTGTTGACATCTCTAGCCTCGAGATCCGGGAAGAGGGACTTGAGAAATCTCACAAAAGTGATCGGGGTGCGAGCACTGATGTGATGTAGCGGTGTCGACATATCTGCGGTGATTGCCACTGTCTCAATAAAGCCTGTTCCAACCAGCTTCTGAGCAAGTTCCATGGACCCGATCTTTGCTGCCAACTCTAACAAAGGCTTCTTCCCAGACCAGAATTTGACGACAGCAGGGCATGAATCAACCATCAGCATGGCGACGTCAAGCTTTTGTCCCATGACCGCCAAAACGAAAGGAGAGTCGCCAGCGTAGTTCAGGGCGGTGAGATCCATTTGCAGGTCGGCTGATTTCTCA